GGCCAAAAATCAGTATTTTTGATGACCGCGGAAAACTTTTTGGGTAAAAAACTGAAATGTTTGTTTTTTCCCTCGAGCCTGACTTTGGTTCGCTGAAATCTCTTGGGGATTCATTGCTGGCCTCTACCCACCTTGTGTGAACATTTGACTTAAGTTCGTGAAGTTGGATTTTCAGGCCAAAAATCAGTATTTTTGATGACTGTGGATAAGGAAAACCTTTTCGGATTTTGGCCATGTTGGGTAAAAAACTGAAATGTTTCTTTTCTCTCTGGATCCTGACTTTGGTGAGCTGATATCTCTTGGGGATGCTTTTCTGGCCTCTACCCACCTTGTGTGAACATTTGACCAAATTTTGTGAAGTTGGATTTCCTAGCAAAAAATCAGTATTTTTGATGACCGTGGATATGGAAAACTTTTCAGATTTTGGCCATTTTGGGTAAAAAACTGAAATTTTTGTTTTCTCCCTTGATCCTGACTTTGGTGAGCTGAAATCTCTTGGGGATGCATTTCTGACCTCTTTCCACCTATTGTGAACATTTGACCAAATTTCTTGAAGTTGGATTTTGGGGCCAAAAATCAGTAATTTTGATGACCGCGGATATGGAAAACTTTTCAGATTTTGGCAATTTTTGGTAAAAAACTGAAATTTTTCTTTTCTGCCTGGATCCTGACTTTGGTGAGCTGATATCTCTTGGGGATGTATTGCTGGCCCCTACCCACTTTGTGTGAACATTTGACCAAATTTCGTGAAGTTAGATTTATGTGCCAAAAATCAGTATTTTTGATGACCGAGGATATGGAAAACTTTTCAGATTTTGGCCATTTTGGGTAAAAAACTGAAATGTTTGTTTTCTCCCTGGATCCTGACTTTGGTGAGCTGAAATTTCTTGGGGATGTATTTCTGGCCTCTACCCACTTTGTGTGAACATTTCACCAAATTTAGTGAAGTTGGATTTTTGGGCCAAAAATCAGTATTTTTGATGACCGCGGATATGGAAAACTTTTCAGATTTTGGCCATTTTTGGTAAAAAACTGTCATGTTTGTGAACATTTGACCAAATTTTGTGAAGTTGGATTTTTGGGCCAAAAATCAGTCATTTTGATGACCGCTGTTATGGAAAACTTTTCAGGTTTTGGCCATTTTGGGTAAAAAAATGTAATGTTTGTTTTCTCCCTGGATCCTGACTTTGGTGAGCTAAAACCTCTTGGTGATGCATTTCTGACCTCTTCCCACCTATTGTGAACATTTGACCAAATTTTGTGAAGTTGGATTTCCTAGCCAAAAATCAGTATTTTTGATGACCTCGGATATGGAAAACTTTTCAGATTTTGGCCATGTTGGCTTAAAAATTGAAATGTTTGTTTTCTCCCTGGATCCTGACTTTGGTGAGCTGATATCTCTTGGGGATGCATTTCTGACCTCTACCCACCTATTGTGAACATTTGACCAAATTTCGTGAAGTTGGATTTTTGGGCCAAAAATCAGTATTTTTGATGACCGCGGATATGGAAAACTTTTCAGATTTTGGCCATTTTTGGTAAAAAACTGAAATGTTTGTTTTCTCCCTGGAGCCTGACTTTGGTGAGCTGAAATCTCTTGGGGATTCATTTCTAGCCTCTACCCACCTTGTGTGAACATTTGACTTAAATTTTTTGAAGTTGGATTTCTTAGCCAAAATTCAGTATTTTTGATGACCGCGGATATGGAAAACTTTTCAGATTTTGGCCATGTTGGTTCAAAAACTCAAATTTTTCTTTTCTGCCTGGATCCAGACTTTGGTGAGCTGATATCTCTTGGGGATGTATTTCTGGCCTCTACCCACCTTCTGTGAACATTTGACCAAATTTTGTGAAGTTGGATTTCCTAGCCAAAAATCTGTATTTTTGATGACCGTGGATATGAAAAACTTTTCAGATTTTGGCCATTTTGGGTAAAAAACTGTCATGTTTGTTTTCTTCCTGGATCCTGACTTTGGTGAGCTGCAATCTCTTGGGGATGCATTTCTGACCTCTTCCCACCTATTGTGAACATTTGACCAAATTTTGTGAAGTTGGATTTCCTAGCCAAAAATCTGTATTTTTGATGACCGTGGATATGGAAAACTTTTCAGATTTGGGCCATGTTGGCTTAAAAATTGAAATGTTTGTTTTCTCCCTGGATCCTGACTTTGGTGAGCTGCAATCTCTTGGGGATGCATTTCTGACCTCTACCCACCTATTGTGAACATTTGACCAAATTTCGTGAAGTTGGATTTTTGGGCCAAAAATCTGTATTTTTGATGACCGTGGATATGGAAAACTTTTCAGATTTTGGCCATGTTGGCTTAAAAACTGAAATTTTTCTTTTCTGCCTGGATCCTGACTTTGGTGAGCTGATACTCTTGGGGATGTATTTCTTGCCTCTACCCACCTTGTGTGAACATTTGACTTAATTTCGTGTGAATTTGGATTTTGTCGCCAAAAATCAGTATTTTTGATGACCGAGGATATGCAAAACCTTTTCAGAATTCGGCCATGTTGGGTTAAAAACTGAAATGTTTGTTTTCTGCCTGGATCCTGACTTTGGTGAGCTGATATCTCTTTGGGATGCAATCCTGACCTCTTCCTACCTATTGTGAACATTTGACCAAATTTCATGAATTTGGTTTTTTGGGCCAAAAATCAGTATTTTGGGCCAAAAATCAGTATTTTTGATGACCGCGGAAAACTTTTTGGGTAAAAAACTGAAATGTTTGTTTTTTCCCTCGAGCCTGACTTTGGTTCGCTGAAATCTCTTGGGGATTCATTGCTGGCCTCTACCCACCTTGTGTGAACATTTGACTTAAGTTCGTGAAGTTGGATTTTCAGGCCAAAAATCAGTATTTTTGATGACTGTGGATAAGGAAAACCTTTTCGGATTTTGGCCATGTTGGGTAAAAAACTGAAATGTTTCTTTTCTCTCTGGATCCTGACTTTGGTGAGCTGATATCTCTTGGGGATGCTTTTCTGGCCTCTACCCACCTTGTGTGAACATTTGACCAAATTTTGTGAAGTTGTATTTCCTAGCAAAAAATCAGTATTTTTGATGACCGTGGATATGGAAAACTTTTCAGATTTTGGCCATTTTGGGTACAAAAATGAATTGTTTGTTTGCTCCCTGGATCCTGACTTTGGTAAGCGGAAATCTCTTGGGGATTCATTGCTGGCCTCTACTCACCTTGTGTGAACATTTGAGTTAATTTGGTGAAGTTGGATTTTTGGGCCAAAAATTGATAATGTTGATGACTGCTTGTATAGAATACTAATTTACATATTGTGATGTCACTTGTCACGTGATGACGTCATGATGACGGCACACACAGTGCATTTATCCTCATACATATGAGGCTGCACTTGTAAGGAAGAAGGAAGGAAGGAATGTTCGTCATACATCTTCAGATGCTTGTCTAAGTGTGTGCCGAGTAAAAAGTCAATCGGATTGATTTTAGTGCCCAAAGTGGCTTCCACAATGAAAACGTGCACAAATGCTAAGGGGAATGGCTGAAAAGAAGAAGACAAAAAAAAAACTTGAACGAAAGTAAAGGCTGCTACAGCAGGTTGCCGAAACAGCCAAAAAGCCAAATTGATAGCCTTCTTTAAATTTCAGGGGGTTGGGACATACTGGGATACGCTCCTGCCCACTTCCTGCACCCTTCCCCTCACCCCTCCCGCTCACCCCTTCCCCTAATACGTCACTGACTAAAGTCTGTCTATTCTCTGCGAATGTTCAATCATTTTAACTGGCATCACTCAAATTAGTCACAAGTTCCCACAGCTTGATTTGATTTTCGGCATTTTTTAATACACATCTTGCATATCAATAGAGCCATCTACTTTTACCACACACATATAGTTTCTATAAACTGAGCGTATTCAAGAATGAATACGAAAGGGATGCTGTTTGTTGTGCAGATGAAAAACTGTGACGTGTTAATGATGTTAGTGAAAAATGTTGTTAAGATTCATATTTTGGTGGACCCACTTCAATCATACAAAAGTTGCAAAATAACTTCTTGAGTCTTTGATCCAAGTCCGATAACGTGAAAGTAAAACAGTGCTTACCAAAGATTACCTGAAATAGAAGTTCAAAACAACTGAATACAAAGGCCATTTATTACAAGAGTGTTGCACATTCCCATAAATAGAGTTGTATTTTTTTTTTTAATAGAACATATAACTTGAAATATTGTCAGTGAAAATTAAACAACTTGTGGAAGAACACTGAGAGTGCATTTTCAGACACAGGACTAAAATACAGCCTACAAATAAAATAAATTACAGAGTCAAAAAGTGGAACCCATCCCCAGAAAATATATTTCATATTTTTTTTTAAATGTAGCACCAAAAATAACGACTGGAAAACCCATTTCAAGCTACCTTTAGATGATAAAATTACTGAAGTTGCTTAATCCATTCAAAGAATATCACCATCTAAATGCAATGACCCTTAACCCTGTTTCTTCCAAAAAGAAAAACATTTTATTGTGTATTCTGACTGTTTGGAACAACAGTTTCAAGTGTCAACGCTTGCACTGTTGAACACAATATCATTATTAGCAACCCTGGTAAGGCAAAAAACGTGATTTATAAAATCCATTTGTTTTAATAGACGGCTCTTTCAAAGGACTTTGTGTAATATTTTTAACTTTTAAACTGCGGTTCTATCACTGGTGATGTTTGCAGACACTTGTGACGACGATTCTTGAAATTACATTTTTGGTTGAAAGACGTTTTAGGGTCATTGTGTTTAAATGGTGATATTCTTTGAACAGATTGAGCAATTTCACTAATTGTTCTCATCTAAAAGTAGCTTATGAAATTGGCTTTCCAGTCATTATTTTTGTTGCTACATATAAATTTTCAAAAATATGTAATACAATTTTTGGGGTTTGGGTTCCGCTTTTTTGTCTCACCCTGTATTTAAAAAATGACAATAACATTGAACATTCTAAATAGTGATCTCATATTTGTTTTCTCCCCAGCGTGTTTTGGAAGGCAATGACGCAGAGCCACTGCCAGCGGCCAGGGTGCAGCTGAAGCAAGGCACCGTGCACTGGTTCCTGGACAACGACGCGGCAGGCAAACTGCAAGCAAAGTACTGATGGGAAATCATCATGTTGAACATCTAAAATGGCTAGAAACACTAAATTATGAATTGATGAGGTCAGTATGACGACCGTGCACTTAAAGTACCCCCTCAACCATTAACAGATCACTGGGAAGGACATTTGAATACGTTGTTGAGGGCGCCAGACGCTCATGTGAAGATGCTGCGGGTTTGTGCGCTTTCAGAAGAAAATAAGTTGTGTGAATTTCAAGAAATACAGGGTGGTCCAAACAAAATTTACACTTTTTCAGAGGCAGATTTCTCAAAATTGGGGAGACATGTTGAAATAGTTTTAAGATATTCCTTAACTACAAGATCTTGGTGGTATATAGTGTAACAGCACTGAAAATAAAGCCTAATTCAAGAAATGGCGGCCACTGAATTAAAGAAATGACGATGACCATATCTCATTCACGCGTCATGGTGGACACTGGTTTTTGACCATTTTTGCTGTAAATGGCTGTCATTTCTGAATTTACTTTTTTTTTTCAACGCTGATTTTACCATACACAACCGAGATCTTGTAGTTTAGGAATATCTTAAAACAATTCAACATGTGCCCCAATTTTAAGAAATCTGCGTCTGAAATAGTGTAATACTTTTTTTTTTACCACTCTGTATACGTATGAACATGGTGTGTGTATGCAGTTTGTTCTTCCCACTAGGGCTTGTGAAGGTAGCCAGATAACGCCATGTCATGTACTGTAAGTGCATGGGCTCCATAGCATTGATCTCAAAAACTCTCATTTAAAGGGAACATACAGCATTTGCAAAAAACTGCCAAATTATTATGAAATACCTGAATGACAGTCTAAAGCATCTCGTAAAATCAGGGCACCTGTTGTGCTGTCATTTTCAAGAAAATGGTATTTTTGTATCAAAAACGGGCTCTTTTTTTCTTCAAATACTCCCGCAATTAACCAAATTTAGTTAGTACACATTTTCTTTGCGATCGATTACACGCCTTTATGAATGGGTACAAGCCAGCTAGACTGGTTCTCTGACCTTACAATTCCCTGATGTCTATAAATTGCTCAATTTCAACTTAAGTGGGGTCAAGGAACCAGACTACAGGAACATGATTGTTTTTCTTAGCTTTTCCAGCATCTACAAACACAAAACTTCAAACAAGTCAGTGTAACAATTTTGGCTACAAAATACTAAACAACCCTCCCCAATTCCATCCCTTTCTGAAAATTACAATAAAAGCAAATGTTGTATATTCCCTTTAACACAAAGCGTTCTTGCCTTCTCGGGACAACATACTAAATACAACAATACATAATTATAGAACAATACATAATTATACAACAATACGTAACTATAAAACAATATCTTAAAGCATTGAAATTTTGTACAATGCAGTGACAAAAAGTAAAATGAGTCGATATTTGAATATATACACGTACATCTATTCCTTATTTAGAGTCCAATACATGCTCGACTGTATTTGAAGAATAAGAACTAAAGACCAAATGTCATATTCTTTATTACATTAAACTATCAAGGATAGACTGAAATTTACATGAAAATGATGTACAACATTATTCAAAGTAAACTTGAATATCGACAAAGCTTTTAAAACATTTTTTTATGTCTCAACATGATTAATTCTGTTTACAAAGCTACTTCTAATTATCTGTCGGAAATTTGAGACTTGCAAAACAAATTGGTCACCAACAAAATTTCAGCAACCCTCATCAATTGAAATATTCTGTTCACTTTTAAAATTTACAGTTCTTTCTTTCATAATAAAAGAAATAAAGCATGACCACCAACCATCGTGATTTGGAAGACTGAGATGTCTTGTTTTTTTTTAAGCACCGATCTGTAAGAACGTGCGAGTATGTTTCATAAATTGAAAACATGAACAAATCATATGTCATACGCATTACCTTTAACAATGGTATTAATTTTGGTGGTTAAAGTATATTTTTATACCTCTTATATTCGGAATAAATAAATCAACATCAATTTCGATGCAGACAAGTGAAAGTATATACTTTTTGTTCAGTTCGACTACCCCCCCCCCCCTCAAAAAAAATATAAAGGGTACAACAGAAACAATGGCCATTGGGTGAAGAGGCCTGATGCTAACTTTAGTCAGTTTGAAGATACATTCCCCCTGTTCGAGTTTCATATGGAAAATGAGCTTTGTTTTTTCAATTGCTATTTCCTAGAAATATTAATAGAAAAGTTATTCACTTTTGGAATGAAAGATCGAGCGAAAACATTCAGCGATGTTTAGTCGTCGAATAAGCCACTTCAGAGTTACTAATGCACATGCGCATATCAAGATTCAACCATTTACTTTACTTTTGTGGATAAACAGTTTGCCATTCGCGAGCAAAATCATAGCAGGGTACCACCGAAATCAAAGAAAAGATCTTGTTTTTAAATGAATGCTAACTTTTGAGTATTTTTAATGGCACCATGGCTTAAATTGTTTTGTATACTCCAACTTTTGTGCGAACAAAATTTCCATCTTATTTTTGATTCGATGAAACATTGCAAAATGTGGATTTGGTTACCACATCCCCCTTAGACTTGTGTGCATTTATCTGCTGTGTTTATCCACAACACTTTAAAATCGTTGAATCTGATGTGCGCATGCGCTGTAGTAACTCCGAAGTGGCTTATTACTTGTACACAATGATGGAATTAGTCGTTGTCAGACAATAATCCATTAAAAGAAAACATACAAATTGACAAATCGTTAGAGGATATAAACCAACTAAAAGCACTGGGAATACATTTTAAAGGGAAAAACTACCAGGAAGGAAGTTAAAGTGCGCTGCTGGTACGTACGGTAGACATAATTCTAAAACTTGTTATGGACAAATCTGAGACTGTATTCGAAATAATGCCATGATCATGTATCATCAAAGACACAATTCTCTCAAATATTTCCCCTATCTGCCCCACTTCAGGTGTCCTTCAGCCTCAAACGATCTTCTTCGTTGTCACGTTAAGGGGGTACACTGTACAAGTAATCTACGTGTTCTGGTGCTATTCTTGAGGTATAAAAACAACATTCTTCCTTCTTCCTTATGGCCTCATTGTTCTTCGTCTTCTGCACATTCGTCGGCACACAAACAGAAGCAAGCAATGCAGATGAATGCCGCTAAGCCTACCACAAAGCCAATGCCCATACCCATCGCGACTTCTGTAAAAGAATTGGAAAAAGACGTCCTCGGATTGTGTAAAAAAAAAAAAAGATGCCCCCTGCCCCCCCCCCAAAAAAAAGGGTTCATCAAATAGTTATCGATTATATGACCATAACATTAAAAACGTGAAGTTTAATCCTCCAACTGTTTTGGTATATTTTAATATGTAATTCTATAATGTATTTAATTTTATTAGTATATTATGCCTATACCACGACATTTACCCACCCATCTAAGAATAATACAGACAGACTGTGTTGTACAAAATATACAGTTGATTTAATAGAGCCTGGAAGTTCAGTAGTTCACCCCCTATAGTGGCGTGCTTCCGGACCCCTCGAATAGACAAACTTAATTATAACGAGCAAACATTCTAAAATTTGCAATTATTTTGGTACATTGATTTTTTAAGAAAACCGCCCTCGAAAAAGGCCTTTGTAAACTAGTTATAGCATCTCAAGTTATGAAAACTGAAAAACCACATGACCTAAAAAAAGATATATCGTGCCAAAAAATTGACCTCTCACGTGCGCTTCCGAAAAGCTAAAATACATAAAGACTAGTGGAATTCTACGGAAACGTATTAACGCCACACATTTATTTATCACGTACGTACGTGATAAGTTTCACGTACGTACATGATAAGTTTTCTGTTTCACGTACGTACGTGATAAGTTACACGTACGTACGTGATATGTTTCACGTACGTACGCGATGAGTTCACGTACGTACGTGAAAACTATCAGTATATCACGTGTTTTACTGCGTGCGTTTAGTTAGTCTGGTTCCCATACCAAATTCTGACTATTCCTGATGAATCTTAGGTCAGGCAGCCTCCGTGGCTAAAAATAAACATGACGACATTGATGGCCCTTTATGCTAAGACAGTTTGATGTTTTTGTAAGATAACATTGACTAATGTTGATCTGGAATCTTCAAAATTAGGCACCCAAATAGCACTGTTAGCAGGCGGAGCCGAATGAAGACAGAGTTTTGGAAAATCCGATTATATTTGATGCACAAACTTGTCGTTGAATTTCAAGATTTCTAAATGAAAGCAATGAATATTAATTATCGACTCATTTAAAAAAAAAAAAGTAATAAGCAATTAGCAGTTAATTAAACCTATATTGTATTCGGAAATACTCGGGCGCTATCCGATTGTCGACGAAACGACTTCGGCAAATTCGGAAATTTTCAGGAAAAAGGAGGAATTCCTCCCGTTTTATTCACGTGACGTAAATTGTAATACAATGTATTACCGGAGGCTACCGGACCTAAGATTCATCGGGAATAGCCAGAATCTTTTGGTCTGGGAACCAGACTACGTTTAGTTTTAGTTAGTCGCGGCATGTCAACTATCATGTACGTACGTGAAACTTATCATGTACGTACGTGAAACTTATCACGTACGTACGTGTAACTTATCATGTACGTACGTGAAACAGAAAACTTATCACGTAAGTACGTGAAAAAAATAAATAAGTGTGTGGCGGTAATACGTTTCCGTAGAATTCGGTGCACTCGTAATTTTACGAAATCATTTTGTGGCGGTCATTGGTTACAAACTGAGAGTTAAATGAGGCTTTGGATTATTCAACTTTTTAATAATCTTGAAGGACTCATTAGCATTAACTTACAAAACAAAAATCTAAAATAACCGCTGATAACGATTGCATTCAAGCCAGCCTGACTAAATCTAGAATCCATTAGCTGTAGGTAGATAAATTTTCACGTCGTTAATTTCATGTTCGATCACGCAAGTACAAAAAGTTTGCGATGTCAAAACAAACGCGAAGTGAGAAGGAGACCTATAGAACGAAAATGCCGGATGTGTGAAGGTCGTAAGTAAACACAATTTACCATATCCAAGTGATTTCTCACCATTTCTTGTTGAATTGAGGAATACCAAGATAAATTACAACATGAATAATGTTTCTTTTGGTAATTAGGCCTGCGGTTCGAAATCATTGTCAAATATTATAGCAATTAAAAAGGGCAACCTATTATGTAGGGCCTCGCGAGGGGTCCGGAAGCTCGCCGCGTGACCTTTTACTTTCAGGCTCCTTTGGGATTGCACCGTTCCCCCATGCCCAGTGGGATGACGTTGATTACTGAGTTTTCGTTCCCGACTGTCATCGTCGTTGTCATCGACATTTTATGCATAATACTTAACTTACCAACAATAGTGTCGGTCGTTAGGGCGCCAATAAGCGCACCAGCCAGAGCCGTGATGGCGAGGAAAACAACCACCAAAATGGCGACCCATAATCTTTTAATGACTCGATCCTTTTCCAAAATTCGTTTTGCCTGTCTATTGCTCCAACAAATTCCCATGGCGAGGAGCTGTGCGTGTACCACCAACTGGTAGTCTGTGTTGATGAGAGCTAGACCGCCAAGGTATGGTTGGTATATAGATCCTGGGAACAATGTAGAAGTTGGCTTTATCAGCTACCGAATGGATGTTCTTTTACGCCACAGCCACTGGATGGAATTAAATTGATATAAACATCAGGTAAGAGAGCCTAAAATGGTAAGCATGTAAATATCATTGACAAGCCTAGACTGGTGAGTTAATTTAACTGCAATCCCTTATCCATTCACTTTAATCTAAACAAAAAGAGTTGCTAAACGCATGTCAACATTTGGGAGGTATACATTTAATGAAACTATATACAATCAATTTTAATGACGCTGTCGGTGTCCAATGAACTTGACATTCGATATCAGCAGAAAACAGTCCATTGTTGGGGTATTGTCGACCCGGCCTGACAGCTGTTACATTATGCACGAAGCATTGCATCCCGTGATGAGTCATCTCAATTAAAAATAACACGTCAACATTCCTCTTTTTGTGGCCGAAATGTGCTATAATTTTTTAAAGGCCTAAATTTATTATTCGTTACAGGCCGCTAAGGAATTTGAGTACAAGTGCGTTTTTCTTTAATTTGAAGATCACTCGAACTTTTATTTATTTAGTTTGAAATAAAAGCCCATCAACTTACAACTGTTTTTTACTTTTGTTTTTTACTTTTTCCTCGCTTGCAATTGTTGTTTAGGAAGACAAATATATATTTTCCCGGGGAGATTAATTACGGTACCATTTTGGATATAAAACGTTACAAATAACGAAATGGAGATTTAAATTTTCTTAAAGTTTTCATAAAATTCAAGAATTTATGAGGAAAAATCCTCAAAGACAATGGATGAGCCCTATACCTCTGTATATTACATGTAGGCCTATAATGTTAATCTGCGCCTCCCATATATATTTTACATCAGGTATAGTCTCATTATAATGGCTCATTATATACTTGACTTCGATTCTTCCGTATTATATGGAGCCACACAGGGATGCATGCTAAATTTCCTGGAAATCGTTTCCTGTATTCAAAATCCAGACTGCTTTTTTTAACTTGGTAATTATTTATGCATGCACACATGTACTAACCTAGTTAATAACAAAGACATGTCAAATTCCGTATCTCTAGCTGGACGTCTTGTTGTCCCGTTATTTTCAGGGGAAACATAGAGATTTTGTCCAAAAAGAAAAGTGCAGGATTTTTATCGAGGGCAAGGGTCATGCACCTTTTGATTTGTCCTGGTTATCATTTAACCAGGGCATTAGTTTCCATAGCAAATATCAAGTGCAAAAACAGTCAAGAATTAAGGGTCTAAAGTTTGGCTATACCAGTACTACACTGCACTATGCATGGACATCTACATTGTATACTGGAGAAAAAAGGAAGTTTGAATTTATACACCAAAGTTTGAATCTGCATGTAAGAATGTATAGGACCATACATGTACATAAAAAGGAAATACAATTTTTCAGAAAATTCATATGCATCACTAATACGGAGGAAGCCCAGTATTGGAAACACATAAATGGTACGGGGCTATACACATCAGGATGACTATTATGGTTTTAACATCCGTTTGGAACGAGACGAGTTAATTATCTGTACTTTAATAACACGCAAGTTATACATTACCAGGAGTACGGAAAGATCCTTCCAAGTTCCACGCACGGCTTTGCACGATACTGTGTTACATGCAGTGCATGTTGGATGTTTTTGGCGATGCGTCCAGAATTAACATATTACACGAGGGATTTACCCCTTCATACTTTCACAACCGCTGTCGGGGAAACACCGTTCTGACCAAAGATCCTATAGCGCCGCGTAGACGTAAGCAGCTCATTTCACGGAGTTCCCCTTGAACATTGCGAAAAAGCACTTGGAACTAGGGGAACCCTGACTGGAGAAATTAAATCACTCGAAACAGGTTGTTTAATTTCCTACTACAGTGTGGATAAAAAAAACCGAAACCCAGATATTATTGCTAATTGGAACAGCGGTAGGGCACATGTGAGTCGAAGGGAGATATCCTCTGTTAGGGTTGAATCTTCTCTTTAAAATGACACCCTGACCATGTCATTACATTCACGGTTGACTGAGCAGTGACCAATTTTATGAAAGGGCTATTATTAAGAGAATTGCGCCACTTCTCAATTGTGGTTTTTGTGGTGTCATTTGTCACACTATAGAGTGAAAGGCTATATGGTTTCCAATCAAGGCAGGTGCGGGGGAAAAAAGATTTCACCATGAAAAGTGGCGCAAGTCTCTAAATAGTCCCTTTCATAAAATTGGTCGCTGCTCAGTCAACCGTGAATGTAATGACATGATCAGGGTGTCATTTTAAAGAGGAGATTCAACCCTATTAACAGAGGATATCTCCCTTTGATTCACATGTGCCCTACTTCTGTTCCAATTAGCAATAATATCTCGGTTTAGGGTTTTTTTATCCACCCTGTATATGGTTCCATTTTCAGGCAGAATGACAGTAAAAGGTCCAGGTTAAATAGGTTTTCTTTCTTCATATTACTTAAATTGGTCTAAAAAAAGCAGTCATGATATTTTTAAAGAGCGTCTGCTTGGTACATGTACTGCTTCAATTAATTTAATAAAGTGACCTTAACATCAGATTATGTCTGGTGTCCCGTCCCCGTTTGGGAATTGTTTCCCGTGGAGCCGTATCATAAGTCCGACGCCTCATAAGTCCGACGTCGGAAAAATGAGGCGTTTAATTTGTCGGACCTACGAGGCATCGGAGCTATGAGGCATTGGAGCTATGAGGCGTCGGACTTATGGGGTTGGACCTATAAGGCGTCGGACTTATAGGCCTTTATTTGATTAGGGGATGCGATTTTGTCGGACTTATGAGGCGTCGGACTTATGAGCGGGACCCCGAATTTTGGACCCTCTGCCCACCATACCACCTGGGTAGTATAGCATGGAAAATTGGACACAGCATCAGTGCCCCCCGAGTGCCCCCCCCCCCCCCACCATCAAATGCTGGTGCCCCCTATCCTCTGCAAAATTCTGCGCGTTGTTAAAATCATTACCTCAAAAATAGCAATTTCTTGAGATATCTTCAGATCGAATTTAGCATCAAATGTGGCACCATTTTGCATCTAGCCCATCCTCCGTATGCGAAAATTTTCCAAAGGGGAGGGGGTGCCCCTCCCCTTAGACCCCTCCCCCAGGACGGCGATCCGTATCCACCTAAGTTCCCCCCCCCCCATCAAATGCTGGTGCCCCCCCCCCCCCTGTGCCCCCCAGACTGAAAAGTCTGGTGACGCCACTGCACAGCATTGCTTGCAATCTAGGCCTATAGATCACCCCATTGAAACCCCAATGATAACCCGCACATGTGTTAGCCGGGTTAGGGTTAGGGTTATGGATAGAATCATGAGCAGATGGAACATCAGTGTCGGGGAACACAGCGGAACATAGGTGTGTAACCTATAGATGGATTGCATTCAGCAGCCATCTTGGAGGTGTGTTTGGTAAATGGTGATTAACAACGAGTGCAAAAGAGGTCTACTCATTCAATTCAATTTAATTTTATTTCTTCATCATTTATTTCTCGGTTTGCACATACAAAAATATACAATAAATGGAATATAAAAACAGACGGTATATACAGGTTAAGACATTCAATGAAAATACAATTGATTAATTAAGCGTCGCAGATTGCAATGCATAATGCTGATCGTTGAACAATGGTTGTTTTCCGACCTTGTTACCCCTTGACGTCAGTGTTGACACGCATTGCTCAGCGAGGGGAAACCCCCGAATGAGAAATTGCAGCCATTACTATGACATCATGGTATGTGTTAAAGGGTTCATTCATACATTAAAGGTTCATTTGCTGCAGTTTGCAGGCGTTCGTGTATCTTGACCTTTGCCTTCGGTTTTTGATAATTCTTGTATTACAGCGAATCATCACATTATGAAATAATCGTCATTTTGACAACTTAAAACTCTCCAGAAATAAATTCGGTCATGCACGCAAATATAAAGACTAATACGTGAAAAATAAGTGGAACACGTCCATTGTATGCCAAACAGATATACCTGTCGTTTTAAAAGTATTTTGATCCAACGTACAAATTAAACTCATTTATCACACTTTTTTTCAGGATTATACCCTCAAATAAACTCATTATGCACACTTATACATGATCACTTGCGCTTCACATTTCTTAAGGTTGTCCGAGGAACAAAGAACTAATTAAACTCATTGATCATACACACTTTTACATGATCACGCCCTCAAATTTAACTCATTTGATCATAGACATAAAACATGCATAGTAACCTTGCTACATGTATATAAGTTCTTAAAACTGTCCAAAGATAGCTGTAATAAAGATTAAAGAGGAGGATACAAAATAATAACTGTATAATAAAAGTTCCTGAACTATTCAGTAGTGAAAGGCAGTTGCAGTTTTCAATTTAAGTTGAAAAGTATCTCCATCAGCAGGTACAAATGTACATACATGTCATTAACTTGATGATTTTCTCATTGGTCTAGCCGATGAGAAGCCTATACCTCTCCGAGTGAGTATTACTGACGTTGTCCAACGAAGCTGTTCTGATGAACCGTCATACGGGAGCTGTTTCTGTCTATCCATTTTCTTTGATATGTTGCGGATATATAGCTTGGAACTTCTGGCGATTCCAGTATAGCACTTTATAAAAATAAGATTATAGGTATGAAAAAGGCTTCGTGCTGGTTCGCTGTAAGGAATATACACAAGCATTTTAAAAGATCCAAGTAGAATTTAATAATACAAAACTACACCATGTAATGATATACTTTAAAGTATACTTTACAGTAAGAGTTAATCACATTCCAACAATCCGTATGCAAATAATCACGAGACTGACTTTAGGTCATGCAATAAGCCTCACTTTTTATATTAAAAAGCTGAGAATTTATTGACATCCATTCCCCAGACGTTGTCGAAATAAGTTTCCAGTATCTTCATGGTTCGCGACTTGTCTCCCTTTAGCTGTTCACGTAACGTCTCGACACTGCACGCATCTGGTTCTAGTATCATGCTGGATTGGAAATGTTGCAGGAGTTGAAGCTTCTTTTCCTTTTTCATTGCTGTGAGGAAATCGGAGGCATTCTTGACTTTCTCATCCACAAAGTGATGGTGAATCATATTATAGACAACTCCTCCTACGAGGCCAACGACGCCGCCTACGAGAGCACCTGAGAAATACAATAGGCTCCGTTCATCAATTTATTGGATTGATAATTGTTCTATACTTTCTTCAATTGTCGTCGTCTTTGACTCTATAATAATATAGCCTCTCTTAAATCACACCGGCTGCTGTATTTGCTTGTATTCGATAAACATTGACTTGCCTTTTTTCCAGCTGTGTTAGAATAAAATAATAATGCCACCAAAGATCCATGAGAACATCGTAGGGATCCAAAGGCCTGACAAATTGACAAAATATTTGTTTAGTTCGGGGTGAGCTTCTTCTCAAAGCCAACTCCAACTATCCAGGAAATACAAATTAAAGAATCAAAAGACTCATCTCTACCAATTGTATTCACTTGTATTCAATAAACGTTGACTTGCTTTTTTGAGCTGATGTACAATTTGCACCGAAGATCCATGGAACGCTCTCCTTGGCCTTGCATGACATCGAGAACATCGTAGGGACCCAAAGATCTAACAAATTGACAAAATATTTGTTTAGTTCAGGGTAAGATTTCTCGCAAAGCCAACTCCAACTATCCAGGAAATACAAATTAAAGAATCCTGAGAATTATCTCTTCCAATGTAATAAAATAACACACCAAGCTTACCAACTACAGCACCAGCGAAGCCACCGATTACTACACCAAGAGCGGCCCCCGAGAATGCGGTCTTTTCCAACTGTGTTTCTTCATATGCAAAGTTCTTCGCCTTTACTACTTCGACGAGCACTTTGATGAGATCGTCCGGTGATATCGGCATGATGTATATGCAGTCCCTGAAGCTCAAGGGCCGGTACTATTTGGCAATTGTATAGAGTGTACGAGGGCAAAGAAATTTAGTGCACTCCTCGTGGAATTACCTTCCTTGATATGTAGCCAGAGGAAAAACAAATGCATGTAATCAGCGGAAATTGAAGGTCAAATATAGAAAATGGAACGATTGAAGAGGGGCTTTTTTTCAAAGGATTTTCACAATGCCATTTTATCATCGCTGTAATGGGACCATTTTTTTGTGTAATATCAACCATCACATAATTATGAATGATAGTTGTAACTTGTACACCACGTGAGAGATTGGGTACTAGATCAGATTGGGCATTCCCTAAAGATCAAAGTCCGGTAGCATCTAAAAATGGTGCATGACGAGCACGATTTTAATGAAGGGTTTGCTTTGCACATAGGCAGGCAATGTATTGTAGTCAACCTATAAAAGAGGAAAATCCCGCGCTTGGAAAAGACAGCTTTTTCGAGTATAAGTTTTATCCGCAAATTCTTTAAGAAATAAGCTGTCCGTATTTCGTGCTCTTCAGTAAAATTTGATATAGTTTGTTTCTCCGAATGATTTTTCAACTTGTAATTTGTTCTTAAATCTTCATTTCCATCTTTTGGGCATCTGCAACCCTCTAAAAAGCTTTTATTTTCAATTTCATTTGCGCAAAAACAGAACCGCTCTGTAACTATAGTCAGGTTCCCGGTCACTACATTATCGATTCCAAAAGGGGCAGGAACCAGTCAACAGTGCGAGAACTGAATTATATTCGGCCCCATGATAATTCAACATTTCTGAAATTATTAATGCGTAACTAAAGTGTGGGAGGTATTGTTCACGATTTATCATTCAAAAGTGAAAAAATATTGTAGGCCCCCTATTGCTAAAAAAAAAAATTAAAACAATAGTCTTCCGGGGTTGAATTCGAATTTAGCACGGACAGTCAACTTAAAATTAGTCTGGACGATCCTGATGTCTCAGGAGTCACAATCTCGTTCCCATAGGTTCGAGATCTTGCTGCGCCATGTTGTCAAAACCTTCTTGCCCTAAAGGGACAGTTCATCATTCGTATTTGACGCTGGATTCAGGCCCAATTCAAAACATGATTCAGCAACCTTTGATTTGAAATTGAGATCCTAGAATGCTGTTTTTTCTCGGAATATACAGCTGAAGCTGAGCTGAAACTTCATCAGGTTAGTTGTTCAGTATCCTTCATTAGATTTTGAACACTTTTGTTGCTTCAAACGAACAAAATGCACAAATTACAAATGATGGACTATATCTTTAAAAACTATCATAACACCTCACCCACAGATTCTGTGTCTTGATTGGTCGAGAGCGAGTCACATGATACTTTCTATTTTGCTATCTTTCTGTGCACGGCCAAAAGTACTACATGTATACCCGTGTGTAAATGCATGCTGGTGTGCGCGTTGCGCGTAGCGCGTTTTGTTCCAAAGAGAGCGCGCCGCAGAATTGGGTTCAAACATTTTGTGAAGGGTTAGTTTGGAAGAGAGAAATACATTTTCCACCAATTTTGTATTGAAATTGAAGTTTATTTCAACTGCTGATAATTTATATTATGAGTCTGGTTATACCTCATCAGCCCTAAAAATGAAAAATTCCCAAACCAAGATTAATTTAAGTACCTTTAGAAACAGAACGGTAAGTTGTGTGGGTGGATTTCTAATGTAAAGTCTATAAATTGACTCATTTGTAACCCACCAACTGTACAAAAATAGTCATAAAGTTGTAAATTTTGAAGACCCCGATTTTTTTTTAGTAGATTCTGATACAGGAAGACATGCTCTATCAAGTCATTTTCATTTCGTTCATTTTCAGAATGATACATTATTACATAAATTGGGGTACAAGGTCACGATAACATATTAAAGGTCACGTGACCTCATTTTCACAAAATTTAATTTTGACAAAAGAGTTGATTTGAGCATGCAATTCTTATTATTTTAACACCAAATTCGCATATATTCGATTAAAATTGACACGGTTTTTCACATATTTCTACCAAAAGGGTGGTATTCACTCTAAAAATGTCCGGTTTTGGGGGTTTCTGCCCTGACCACATGGTAGGTCGGATTGGGCTAAAAATTGGTGTGCATTCATTGCTCATCGGGATCTACAAGCACAGCAATTTTTATCAAAATCGGAAAAACATGAGGTAAAAAAAAGTGCGTTGGTCTGACATGGAATGACCCATACTTCAAGCTGTTGACTTTTCTGCATTTAATTCATTGATCCATTTGCTTTACCTAGGGTTAGTTTTATACTCATCTTGATCTACACTATTTATTGGGTTACTATCGCCTCCTCATTCTAAAAATAATATTCGTAAGGATTTGTAAACATAATATTTGTAAAGATTATTCGTCGCCTATAAATATACAGTTTGTGCATATTAAAAACGTCTCAGAGGTTTTGGGAAAACCAGTCCCAAAAATTCCACTGCACTAATTTCTGGGGGCAGTTGTGACAGTGATGAGATAAAGTATAGGAAGGCGAGTTTTACATCGAACAAATTAAACAGATCCGACTTAATCTACTGAATCACATGCTTTTTAAATCTGTCCTCTAGATCCTTTATTTTCTTCCTCTCCCATGGAACATCTTCAAAAGAAAACTCGGCAAGATTACCATATGCGAAGTTCACTAATTTTCCTCTGTATTGACTAACTAACCCCCAGATAGCAATTTCATGTCATCAAAGTCAATTTGAGCAGTGAGAAAATACAAGCATTTTCTTAGAAAACACTTAGAATTTTTCAGTCCAATTTCATAGGGTTTGTACACATGCAGGGTGTTGAGTGAACTTCGTATATGGAAATCTTTCCGAAAACTCAAAAGAATTGTTTTTTTTTTTATGTAGCTACAGAGTCTATGAAAAGAAAAACACTTGAAAGGGATACTTGCATAGAGTTTGTTCGTGAAAATATATATGTATTCAGGGAACTCGCAAAAAACCTGCATTTTAAAATATTGATTGAAGGTTGTCAATATGGCACTTCTCCAATGACACGAATCTGACAAGAAAATAAGGAAAACAAAAAACAATGTATCAATTAATTAAACAGTTTGCTGCCTTACGCTTAAAACACTCACTGCGTGTCACGCTGGCTCACCAGATGCGAAACTTAAAACTATCCAGATAGTGTCTGTCTTCTTATTAATACTTTAAGAGCTATGCCTGTGTTTCTACAATCTTTAACCCATGAGAGACAGAGATAAAATAGATGAGCCTCTTGTTTCAAGGGGGGGGGGGTGGTACCATATTTCAATAGGGGCTGCTGTTCAAATTCGACGATTATTAACACTAGATTACAGAATGGTGTACCGTATTTTGAACAGACGGACATTATACCAGTATAATTTTTTGGGGGTGTCACGGGGGAAGGGGGGGGGGGGTCGACTTATTTTTCAAGAATTTGTATGATAATTTTTTTTGGGGGGGGGGGGGGGCAGAGCTTGGGGGGTTGACCCACCCCCCCCCCCCCCCCCCAGATCCGCGCCTGAGGTGTGGACGTAAAAATTACAATGAACGTGAAAACACGAAATACACGATGGATAACACCACCAAATACACGATATAAATGCATTACCTGCTAATTGCGGTATCGAATCAGGATACAGGAAGGAAGTGTCCATCCCAGGGCTTACTATTGGAAACGAGGCTGAAAATAAGACCTGGGGACGAGGTAGCGAATAACTTAAAAACGCGCCGCACTGTCAAAGAAATTTACATTGCCATTTTAGTTTTACCATTTACTGAAAAGCGGTGAACTTGTGAACATCCATCAGCAGAACGTTTTCAAAGAATCCCTTCAGTAAGTTAATGGTTCTCTCCTTTGCGTTACTGTCTCCCATTAGCAGCTCTCTCAGCTTGGCAGAATCGCAGCTATCTGAACCCAGATCCAAAATGTGGTTCTTAAAGTGGTCCAGGAGTTGTTTCTTCCTCTCCTTGCCCAAGGGTTTCAGTGTCTCGGGAACAGTGTGGAGCTTTTGGCGATTCCAGTAGGCAAAGGCGCCTCCCAAAACGAGCCCGCCACCGCAGCCTACAATGGCTCCTGCAAGGACAAAAACTGTGAGTATTCGGGACACCCTCCGACATGCATATCTAATTCAGTTTTGAAATTCAAAATATGTGAGGCTCGATTGTGTGATTACACCGGATGTATTTTTCTTAAAGAAGGTCTGAGTATTCACCCGTCGTCCAACGGTGCCATCTGTGCGTATCCAACGTATATGATCATGTCTAAGCATGCACATTTTTATGCGACCCAGCGCCTCAGTCAATCAGAGTCGACTTTTGAAGTTGTGACATCATTTCGATCAGAAATGTGGACTAAGCTGTTGATTGGTAAACTGGGCTGCCAAGTTTTTGCAATACAACAACGGGTTACGGGAGATGGCGCCCGCTGAATGGTCAGTATCTTGACGTTGTTTTGTATTATTAATCGGCGAATCTGCGCGAATATCACAGACACTGCAAGCGGATATTCCATAGACTACTTTTGGGGCGTGGCACCCTACAAAATAAAATTTCAAATTGAATTGATCAAACTTTGCTTCTTTTTCACTTCATAACCACTACAAGATTCATGATTTTCTAATAATCTTATACCGAAACATTTGTTCATTATACCTACCAACACCAGCACCGATAGCTGCACCAACCCCTGCGCCTGCTCCCGTCGACAAAATGGCGACAACCCAACTTTTCCTTTTCCGTTTCTCGTCGTTTTTCCCATTTTTCTCCTCTGCCACTTCGATGAGCACTTTGATGAGATTGTCCGGTGATACTGGCATGGCGTCTTGTGTCTTTCAGGTTCAGACGGAATGTTGACTAAAGCTGCTGAACGCAAGTCAGATTAAGTATAGAGAATAAAGACTGTCTAGGATTATTTCCTGAACTGCGCGACTCAAAGCCAAATGCCCAATACATAATTGGCTTTTTCGAAATTTACTCTGATGAGCTTCACAGAATCTTGTGAAGGAAGTGACCTATGACCTATGTATCAAGCATCTGGCTGCAGCTGTTCAAGACCGCAGTTAGACAATGTGCAAAAAATGCTATCCGAAAACTTCCCATAGAATTGCGCACATTCCATACCGGATGTGATTTGTGTTTCATTGCGGACCATGTGGACACAATTTTGAGCGTCGCATAATGCAATCCGACCGTTCGTGATTCGAAACGGAGCCTGAGCGAGTGACAGGAATTGTGAATTTACAACACAGATAAGTTTTACAGAATTCCCTAATTTATTACGAGAAAAAAAAACATCTCTAAACTGGATTAAAAGAGTAATGAATCAGTCTTAACGGCCGTTTCAAACCTTGCAGAGTCATAACCTTGATGACGCGCAGGTCACTGGTAACGCAAAATCCAACCAATCACAGCGTGAATTCATCAGAGTATCCCAGTGTCCTGTTTGCAGGGCGGGGGGGGGGGGGGGGACGAGCGAATTTCGAAATTTGATGGACACAATATGAGGGCGCTGTTTAGTTTAGAGAGCCGCATTTTACTCAACTTCGTTCCCAGGGTGTCGAGCAGTACGCTCCCACCACTACCTACAATATTGGTGACCATTGTTCTAGTGAAGTTCTGCATGTAGCATTTTCAAAATCTTGGATATGAAAGTCCAATCATAAGCTTTCTTTTAGTACAAGAATCATTCAAATTACCAATGAACAAGTTACGGAATTTTAAACACAACCACCGTTTTAAGGTTCTGTCCACGGATCACAAAAATTTGAGTAATCTTTCAGCAAAACGAAAACAAATCACATACGGATATGTGTAAATTGTTTTCGTTTTGCTGAAAGAATGCACACCTTTTTAGTGATCTGTGGACAGAACTTTTACAACGGTGGTTGTGTTTAAAACTCCGTAACTTGAAAAGTACATAAGTGATTTGAATGATTCTTGTACTAAAAGAAAGCTTATGAATTGGGCTTTTATATCCTAGATTTTGAAAGTGCTATATGCAGAACTTCACTAAAACAATGGTCCCAACATTTGGTTTCGGGTTTTTTTGTGGACTCACCCTGTATTATTTGATTTGAGTGAATGCCAATTTTTCACGCCTGCTTGATGGTTAAAAATATCACTTGTGTTTATAGATACATATATTATTAATAATTAACTGTGTTAGAGATACGACCACTTTCTTGCCCAGAGGGCCAGGGGCCATTGCAATTATCTCACTGATTGACCCATTGACTGACTCACTGACAGCCTGGCAATGCTATATATCGTATAGGATTACCCTGTTAAAGAGGTTGTGGAATGCTCGAAGACATTTCCGTCATTTTTATATATGTAGCCTAAGGTGCGAAATGCTAATCCGCCCGGGCGAAATAGTAATCCGCCCGGGCGAAATGCTAATCCACCCGGGCGAAATAGTAATCCGCCCGGGCGAAATGCTAATCCGCCCAGGCGAAATAGTAATCCGCCCGGGCGAAATAGTAATCCGCCCGGGCGAAATAGTAATCCGCCCGGGCGAAGAAGTGGGCCTAAAAAATATTTTCGGTCATGTCCTAAATACGCTTCCGTAGTACGACCTTCCTCGATACTATACATACTATACGATCTCGATTAGAAAACGTGTACAAAATCAATGTGTGACGTCATCAGTACGAGGCCAATTAAATCGGGATGACTATTATCGTTTTAACATCCGTTTGGGAACAAGTTAATTACCTGTATTTTAATAACATGCAAGTTATACATTACCAGGAGTATGAAAAGATCCTTCCAGATTCCACGTACGTCACTTGGTTGTGCACGACACTATGCTACATGCAGTACATGTTCGGTATTTTTCGGCGACGCGTCGACCGTCCAGAATAAACATATTACACGAGGGATTTACCCCTTCTACCCGTTTCACAACCATTGTCGGGGAAACACCGCCCTTACGTTGGCGACTCATTTCACGGAGTTTCCCTTGAACATTGCGAAAAAAAGCACTTGTAACTAGGGGAGCCCCGACTGGAGAAATTGAATCACTCAAAACAGGTTAAGTTTAAAGATAATTATTATTTCTTGAGAGGAATTTCCCATATGGTTTATCAGGCCAAATGACAGTAATAGGTCCTGGATATGTATAGGTTTTTTTTTCTTCATATTACTTTAATTGGCCTAAAAAGCAGGGTTTTTTTTAAAGAGCATCTGCTTGGTACATGTACTGCTTCAATTAATTTAATAAAGTGACCTTACATCAGATTATGTCTAGTGTCCTGTCCCCGTTTGGGAATTGTTTCTCGGTAGGGGATGAATTTTGGACCCTCTGCCCACCACCAGCCCCTCATACAACTGATGATGTCTGCCAGTACAGTGTAGCATGGAAAACTCGACACAGCCTTGCTTGCAATCAATAGATCGGTGACTGCTCTATGTTCCTATCAGTTCCGACACCCCTGTATTTCCGACAACCCGCACATTAGATTGTGTTAGCCCGGTTAGGGTTAGGGTTAGAGTTAGGGTTAGGAACATGAGCAGTGGGGTGACAGGGGTGTCGGAACATACGTGTGTAACCTATAGATTGATTGCATTCAGCAGCCATCTTGGAGGTATGTTTGGCTATGGTTATTAACAACGAGTGCACAAGATGTCTCAGTACTTATTTAATTCAATTCAATTCAATTTTACATGTATTCATCATGTTAACATGTAATTGTATTTCTCAGTTTGCACATAAAAAAGAATCTAAATTGAATATATAAACAGACGGTATTTACTGTACAGATTAAATATTCAATGAAAATACAATTAAATAAATAATAGAAATGTTACTTAAAATTATTAAACCCATGCGTAATTGCGAATCCACTGCAAACGATCTATACACACAGTTTTCAAATTGCCAGAACCGCAGATTCGATCGGCAATGCATATTTAATGCCGCATGGTTCGACCCATGGTTCGACCTTGTCCCTTGACGTCAGTGTTGACAAGCATTGCTCAGCAAGGGGAAAACCCCGAATGAGAAACTGCACTATGACATCATGGTATGTGTATACGGTTAATTCATACATACATGTATTTTTGAAGGTTCATTGAAGATCGTCAGTGCAGTAACAGTTTGCGAATGAGCCAGTTTTAAAGGGTAAAATGTCCATCTTTTATGGAGGAATACACTGCGGGTGTTTGTGTATCTTGACCTCGTATCAGCCTGATAATTCTTGCTTGATCATGGAATAAGCATTATCAAAACACCGTCATTTTTGACAAAAAAAATCTCCAGAATTTTCAGAATTCGGTCATGCAATTAAAAATAGACAGATTTAGGTGAAAAATACGTGGTATACATGGTATGCCAAACAGATTTCTGTCATTTAAAAAGTATTTTGATCCAAAGAACAAATTAAACTCATTTATCATACACTAAGGCACATGATCACATGCGCTTTAAATTTCTTAAGATTGTCCCAAGAAAAAGAACTAATTAAACTCATTGATCATATACACTTTTACATATATTACGTCCTCAAATTTAACTAATTTGATCAATGATCATACACACCTTTACATGCATAGCAACTGTACTCTATTTCTTAAGACTGTCCAACGATAATTTTAATAAAGAAGAAGGTACACAATAATATATAACTAAAGATCCTGAACTATTCAGTAGTGAAAGGCAGTTGCAGTTTACAATTTGTGGAGAAGTATCTCCATCAGTTTTAAACCATACATGTTGTCATTAACTTGATGGTTTTTTTCATTGGTCTAGCCGATGAGTAGGCCTATACCTTTCCGAGTGAGCAGGCGCGGTTCTACGGGGGGGGGGGGGGGGGGGGGGGCCAAATTTTGTCTAGCCCCCCCCCCCCCAAATAAATTCCGTAAAAAAAAATGCATTAGCAAAAAGAAGGATTGTGATGTACATGCGAACGGTCTCCCCCTAAAGAAGAAATAGCCGTGACAATAGCTGTCTTTCCATTTTCTTTGGGTTTCAGTATGTTGCGGATAGCTTGGAACTTCTGGCGATTTCAGTATAGCACTTTATAGAAATAAGACTTTATAGGTATGAAAAAAAGGATTCATGTGGGGTCCTAGGTGTAAGGAATTTCTAGCGATTTAAAAGGTTCTTATAGAAATGAATAATCTAAGACTAGCTTGCAATAGCTTGATACAGTAATACTATCAGGCGCGGTTCTACGGGGGGGGGGGCTAGGGGAGCTGTAGCCCCCCAAAATTTTGTCGAGCCCCCCCCCCCCCAAAAAAAAAAATTCTGTAAAAAAGAAAATTGCATTAGCAAAAAGAAGGATTGTGATGTACATGCGAACGGTCTCCCCCTAAAGAAGAAATAGCAGTGACAAGGGTGCATTAGTTAATATAGTGTGAATGATTTTAGGATTTTATTGGCACTCCCCATTAAAAATATGGCATGAGCCCCAAAACCTCCCCCCCCCCCCCCAACACTATTGATTTTTGGAGGCCTAAGTGTCTGAAAAAAATAACCGGTCTACATTTCAGCACGCCTCCCTGAAAAAAATTCTGGATCCAGCGTGCTAGCCCCCCAAAAATATTGGTTCTAGAACCGCGCCTGCTAATGATATACTTTACAGTAAAGAGTTAACCATATTCCAGCAATCCGTATGCACGATCATCATGAGACGGACTTTTGGTCACGCTGTAGTGTTAACCTCACTTATTTGCATGCTAAAAAGCTGCGAATTGGTTGACATCCATTCCCCAGACGTTGTCGAAATAAGTCTTCAGTACCTGCATGGTTTGCGACTTTTCTCCCTGTAGCAGTTCACGTAACGTCTCGACACTGCACGCATCTAGTTCTAGTATCAAGATGCTCGATTGGAAACGCCGCAGGAGTTGAAGCTTCTTTTCCTTGTTCATGGCTGTGAGGAAATAGGAGGCGTCCTTGACTTTCTTATCCAGAAACAGACTGTGGAAAAGCCAACAGGCGGCTCCTCCTGCAGCTCCAAATGAGCCAACCAGCAGAGAACCTGAGAAGATACAATACGCTCTTCATAATTGGATTTATTCTGTACTTTGATTGTCGTCGTCGTCTTTTGCACTATTAATATTAGCCTCTCCTAGTTCTCGTATTCGATAAACATGAGTTCTTTGTTAAGGCTTGTTATAGAAATAAAACAGTCTTGCCACCAACGATCCATGCTCTGCCTAATAACATCTCATAGGGATCCAAAGGCCTGAGAGATTTCGGTAAACACTGACAAAATGTATATTTTTAGTTTGGGGCGAGCTTCTTCGCAAAGCAAATTTCAACTAAATACAAATTATAGCTTACCAACTCCAGCACCAGCCCAGCAACCGGCAAATGTAAAAAGAGCGGCCCCCATTGCCCCCAATATTACGAACTTTATCAAATGTGTGTCTTCGTATGCAGAGTTCCTCTCCCGTACTATTTCGACGAGCACTTTGATGAGATCGTCCGGTGATATTGGCATGATTTCAACATGTATATGCAGTCCCTGGGCCTATTTGTTGTCCGGCGTAGATGTTGCAGACAAGCAAAGGGCAAGGGAATGCACTCCGTGGGGTTTACCTTCCTCGATACTATACATCTGGAGGGAAAAAACATTGGGTTGTCATCAGTGACAATTTACGGAGCCCCTTGTAAAAGGACCCCTTAAACTCTAAAAAATAAAAAAATAAAAATCTCCTCGCACAATATCATTGGCTGAAATTAATATCAGCTAGAAACTGCTAGAATACCGTTACGCAAAGTGGAATTCGATCGTTGAACTTGAACAATGGTTGTCTTTCCGACCTTTTGCCCCTTGACGTCAGTACTAGTGAAGGCAAACATTGCTCAATAAGGGAAACGTGTTAAAGGATTAATTCATACATAACTTTAAAGGTGCTGCAGTTTGCGAATGAGCCAGTTATATTGGATAATGTCCATCTTTATGGAGGAATACACTGCGTTTGTTTATGGTGTAAATCGAGGACACACACGTGCAACATCATCGGTGAATCGAGGACAGGAACCAAATCGAGGACGATCTCGATTATAAAACGTGTATAAAATCAATGCGTGACGTCATCAGTACGAGGCTAATGAAATCGGGATGACTATTATCGTTTTAACATCCGTTTGGGAACGAGTAAATTACCTGTATTTTAATAACATGCAAGTTATACATTACCAGGAGTATGGAAAGATCCTTCCAAGTTCCACGTACGTCACTTGGCTGTGCACGATACTGTGCTACATGCAGTGCATGTTGGGTATTTTTTGGCGACGCGTCGACCGTCCAGAATGAACATATTACACGAGGGATTTACCCCTTCTTCCCGTTTCACAACCATTGTCGGGGAAACACCGCTCTGACGTTGGCGACTCATTTCACGGAGCTCCCCTTGAACATTGCAAAAAAGCACTTGTAACTAGGGGAGCCCCGACTGGAGAAATTAAATCACTCAAAACAGGTTAAGTTTACAGATAATTATTATTTCTTGAGAGAAATCTGGCTAAATCAGGCCAAATGACAGTAATAGGTCCTGGATAGGTTTTTCTTTCTTCCTATTACTTTAATTGGCCTAAAAAAGCGGTATATTTTTTTTTAAAGAGCATCTGCTTGGTACTGCTTCAATTAATTTAATAAAGTGACCTCTCATCAGATTATGTCTAGTGTCCTGTCCCCGTTTTGGAATTGTTTCCCGGTAGGGGATGAATTTTGGACCCTCTGCCCACCACCAGCCCCTCATACAACTGATGATGTCTGCCAGTACAGTGTAGCATGGAAAACTAGACACAGCCTTGCTTGCAATCTATAGATCGGTGACTGCTCTATGTTCCTATCAGTTCCGACACCCCTATGTTCCGACAACCCGCACATT